GCTAATAACAGGAAGAGCAAGGGAAAAAAAATCAAATACATGGAAACTGATTAACACCCTGCTTAAAAACCACTGGGTAATAGAAGAAATGAAAGATGGAATCAAAAAATTCCTAGAATCAAATGAGAATGAAAACACATCATACCAAAACCTTTGGGACACAGTAAAGGCAGTGCCCAGAGGTCAATTTACAGCAACAGATGCACACATCAAAAAAGAAGAAAGGGACAAAATCAAAACATTAGCTACACAACACAAAAAATAGAAAGAGAACAGCAAAAGAAGCCCACAGCCATCAGAAGAAAGGAAATAATAAAGATCAGAGCAGAAATAAATGAAATAGAGAATAGAAAAATAGAAAGAATCAACAAAACCAAAAGTTGGTTCTTGAAAGGATCAACAAAATTGACAAACCATTGTCCAAACTGACAAAAGAAAAACAGGAGAGGATGCAAATAACTCAAATAAGAAATGAAATGAGGTATGTTACAACAGACCCAATTGAAATAAAAACGATCATAACATAGTACTATGAAAAACTACACTCCAACAAATTTGAAAACTTAGAGGAAATGAACAAATTTATAGAAACACACTACCTACATAAACTAACAAAAATTGAAGTCGAAAATCTGAACAGGTCCATAACAAGAGAAGAGATTGAAAAGGTAATAAAAAAGCTCCCCCCACCCCCAAAAAAAGAAACTGGCCCAGATGGCTTCACTAAAGAATACTACCAAACATTCAGAGAAGAGCTTGCACCAGTACTACTCAAACTACTTCAGAACATAGAAAAAGAAGGGATACTTCTGAATTCATTCCATGAAGGCAGCATAACCCTGATACCAAAACCAAGCAAAGACACCACAGAAAAAGAAAATTAGAGACCAATATCTCTCATAAATATAGACACAAAAATCCTCAGCAAAATTCTAGCCAATAGAATTCAGCATCATATCAAAAAAATAATGCACCATGACCAAGTGGGATTCATACCAGGTATGCAAGGATGGTTCAACATTAGAAAATCAATCAATGTAATTCACCACATAAATAAAAGGAAAGAAAAGAATCACATAATCATCTCAGTGGACGCAGAAAAGGCATTCGACAAAGTCCAACACCCATTCCTGATAAAAACTCTCAATAACATAGATATAGAAGGGAAATTCCTCAAAATAATGAAGGACATCTACACAAAGCCAACAGCAAACATCATTCTTAATGGAGAGAGGCTGAAAACATTCCCCTTGAGAACAGGAACAAGACAAGGATGCCCTTTATCACTACTCTTATTTAACATTGTGCTGGAAGTCCTAGCTAGAGCAATAAGGCAAGAAAAAGAGATAAAGGGAATCCAAATTGGTAAGAAAGAAGTAAAATTGTCCCTATTTGCGAATGATATGATACTATACATAGGGAACCCAAAAGACTCCACAAGAAAACTACTGGAACTAATAGAAAGATTCAGCAGAGTAGCAGGATACAAGATAACCACAAAAATCAGTTGGATCCCTATACACCAACAAAGAAAACTACAAAAAGGAAATCAATACCATTTATAATAGCCCCTAAAAATATAAAATACTTAGGAATAGATGTAACCAGGGATGGAAATACAAAGAAAACTACAAAACACTACTGCAAGAAACCAAAGGAAAGCTACATAAATGGAAAAACATACCATGCTCATGAATAGGTACAGTCAACATTGTGAAAATGTCAATTCTACACAAAGCTATCTACAAATACAATGCAATATCAATCTACATACCCACAGCATTCTCTATGATTAGGTGGAAAAACTAATTGTTAACTTAATATGGAAAGGGAAGTGGTCCCAGATAAGTAAAGCACTATTGAAGGAGAAGAATAAAGTCAGAGACTCGAACTACCTGACTCAGAACCTACTACACAGCTATGGTTGTCAGAACAGCCTGGTACTGGTACAACGACAGACACATTGACCAACAGAACAGACTTGAGGACCCAGATGTTAATTAATCCACCTACAGTCACCTGATCTTTCACAAATGCCCAAAGTCCATTAAATAGAGGAAAAGATAGTCTTTTAACTAATGGTGATGGCAAAACTGAATATCCATCTGCAAAAAAAATGAGACAGGACCCATACCTCACACCATACACAAAAACTAACTCAAAATGGATCAAAGACCTACATATAAAACCAAAAACTATAAAGATCACAGACGGAAAAAAAAGGGTCAATGCTAGGGGCCCTATTATACGGCATTAACAGGATAAAAACCATAACTAACAATACACAAACACCAGAAGATAACCTAGATAACTGGGATCTTCTAAAAATTAAACACTTATGCTCATCAAAAGAGTAAAAAAGAGAATCTACAGACTGGAAAAAAAATTTTGGCAATGACAAATCCAGCAAAGTTCTAATATCTAAAATCTATAGGAAAATCCAACATCTCTACAACAAAAAGACTCATAATCCAATTAAAAATTGGCAAAGGATATGAGCAGACACTTCACCAAAGAAGACATTCAAGCAGCTAACAGACACATGAGGAAAAGCTTGAGATCACTAGCCATTAGAGAAATGCAAATCAAAACTATAATGTGATACCATCTCAACCCTACATTACTGGTATGAATCAAAAAACTAAAAATAAAAAATAGCAAATCTTGGAGAAGCTGCAAGGAGATTGGAACTCTTACGCACTGCTGGTGGGAATACAAAATGGTACAACCAGTTTGGAAAACGATATGGCGCTTCCTTAAAAAGTTAGAGATAGAAATACCCTACGATTCAGCAATCCCACTCCTAGGAATATATGCTAGAGAAATAAGAGCCATCACACAAATTGACATATGCTCACCATGTTCATTGCAGCATTATTCACAGTTGCAAGAAGATGGAAACAACCTAAGTGCCCATTAACAGATGAATGGATAAAGAAACTATGGTACATACACACAATGGAATACTATGCAATGATAAAGAACAATGATGAATCTGAGAAATATTTCACAACATGAATGAACCTGGAGGGCATTATGCTCAGTGAAATAAGTCAATCACAAAAGGACAAAATATTGTATGAGACCACTATTATAAAAACTCATGAAAAGATTTACACAAAAAAGAAACAATCTTTGATGGTTACAAGGGAGAGGAGAGGTAGTGTCTTAGGCTTGGTTCTCTAGAGAAGCAAAACCAGTAAATCGTATAAATAGAGAGAGAGAGAGAGATTTATAACAAGGAAATAGCTCACGCATTTGTAGAGGCTGTAATGTCCCAAGTCCATGGGTCAGGATAGAGGCCTCTCCTAATTCATGTAGCCGCAGGGGCTGGCAAACCCAAGATCAGCAGGTAGGAGAGCAGGGCTATTGCTCACAGGCTGTGAAGATCAATGAATCCCAAGATCGGCAGGCAAGACTACAGGTAAGCTGCTAATTCAAGTCCCAAGAACCAGAGGTCAGACAAACAAGAGCCAGCTGCAGGATCCAGAATGAGCAAAAGCCCCTGAGCCTCGCCAGAATGTCCACTTATATTCAGATGCAGGCCACACGCCCAAGGAAACTCCCCCTCAATGGATCAGCTACTCACAGCAGATCCCATCACAGGGGTGATCAAATATCAAATCTCAATAGGGAAGTGACCACATTACAAGACTGCCAAAACACCGAGAATCATGGCCCAGCCAAGTTGACGCACAATCTTAATCATCACAGGTAGGAGGGAAAAACACGAAATGACAATAGATAAGTGGTAACTTTGGTGAAGGGTAAGTAAGACAGTACACAGCACTGGGCAAGCCAGCACAAGTTGACCAAGGCAAGGTTATGGAAGCTTCATAGACACATCCAAACTCCCTGAGGGACCAAATTACTGGGCTGAGGGTAGGAACCATGGTCTTGGGGGACTTCTAGCTCAATTGGCATAACCTAGTTTATAAAGAAAATGCTCTACATCCTACTTTGGTGAGTAGCATCTTCAGTCTTAAAAGCTTGTGAGCAGCCATTTAAGATACTCCATTGGTCCCACCCCATCTAGAACAAGGTAGCATGAAGAAAACCAAAAGACACAAGGGAAAGATTAGTCCAAAGGACTAATGGACTGATATTACCACAGCCTCCACCAGACTGAGTCCTGCACAACTAGATGGTGCCAGCTACAACCACCAGCTACTCTGACAGGGATCACAATAGAGGGTCCCGGACAGAGCTGGAGAAAAATGTAGAACAAAATTCTAACTCACAAAAAAAGACCAGACTTACTGTCTGACAGAGACTGAAGAAATCCTGAGAGTATGGCCCCTGCACACCCTGTTAACTCAGTACTGAAGTCACTCCTGAGGTTCACCCTTCAGCCAAAGATTAGACAGGCCCATAAAACAAAACAAGACTAATGGGCATACCAATCCAGAGGCAAGGACAAGAAGGCAAGAAAGCTGATAATGGGGAACTCAAGGTCGAGAAGGGGAGAGTGTTGACACATTGTGGGGTTGGGAACCAATGTCACAAAACAATACGTGTATTAATTGTTTAATGAGAAACTAATTTGTTCTGTAAACCATCTAAATGCACAATAAAAAAATATTCAGTGCTGTGTGAGTATATTGGCTAAATGAATGATGGAGTGATTTGTATTTTAAATTGTTTTACGTTCTCTAAAAATACGGAAAAAATGAAAGAATACTCTTCTAAGACAACAATGGAGTCTCTCAATGGTGTAAATAGTTAACACACTCAGCTGCTAAGGTTGACAGTTCGAGTCCACCCAGAGGCACTTTGGAAGAAAGGCCTGGTGATCTACTTCTGAACAACTAGCCACTGAAAACCCTATGAAGCACAGTTCTACTCTGAAAAAAACATGAAGTTGCCTGGAGTTGGAATTAACTCAATAGCAACTGTTTTTTGTTGTTACTGTTAAAATGTTATAAGTGAGGTGAAATGTTATTACAATTTTTGTTCATTTTATTACAGATCTCTCACTCCTAGGCATCCAGCACTCCTGAATGGGATCTGTGGCCAGTAAAAATAATGTGACACAGTTAATTCTTACTGACCTTTTCCAGGGTCCAGAGGTGCAGAGAGTGTGCTTTGTGGTGTTTCTTCCTGTGTACCTGGCCACAGTGGTGGGCACTGGCCTCATGGTGTTGACAGTCAGTGTCAGCAAGAGTCTGCATTTCCCCATGTACTTCTTCCTTAGCTACCTGTCCCTGATGGAAATCAGTTACTCCTCTACTGTTGTCCCTAAGTTCATTACTGACTTACTCACTGTCATGGATTGAATTATGTCCCCCAAAAATATCTGTCAATTGGCTAGGCCATGATTCCCAGTATTGTATGATTATTCACCGTTTTGCCATCTGCTGTGATTTTCCCATGTGTTGTAAATCCCATTCTTTGATGCTAATGAGGTAGTATTATCGGCAGTTATGCTAATGAGGCAGGACTCAATCTACAAGATTACGTTGTGTCATAAATCAATCTCTTTTGAGATTTTAAAGACAGAAGCCAGCAGAGAGACAGGGGGACTTCATACCACCAAGAAAGCAGTGCTGGGAGCAGAGCACATCCTTTGGACTGAAGACTTCCTGCACTGAGAAGCTCCAAGACCTGGGAAGACTAATGACAAGGACCTTCCCTCAGAGCCAACAGAGACAGAAAGCCTTCCCTTGGAGCTAGCAGCCTGAATTTGGACTTCTAGCCTCCTAGACTGTGAGAAAATAAATTTCTCTTTGTTAAAGCCATTCACTTGTGGTATTTCTGTTAGAGCAGCACTAGATAATTAAAACGCTCACCCAAATTAAAATCATCTCCATGGAGGGCTGTCTGGCTCAGATATTCTTCTTCCACTTCTTTGGTGTGACAGAGATTTTCTTGCTCACAGTGATGGTTTATGACTGCTATGTGGCCATCTGCGAACCCCTACACTACACAATCATCATGAGCCAGCCTGTGTGTCACCTTCTGGTGGCTGGTCCCTGGATGGGGGGTGTAATTGACTCCATGGTTCAGATCCTTGTCACTGTCCAGTTGCCCTTCGGTGGCCCCAATGTAATTGACCACTACTTCTATGACCTCCATCTCCTATTCAAGGTTGCCTACACTGACACCTTTGTGGAGGGTGTTATTGTGTTGACTAACAGTGGCTTAATCTCTGTCATATCCATCCTCATGTTGGTATCTTCTTATGTCATCATCTTAGTCAACTTGAGGAGCCATTCTGCAGAGGGGAGGTGCAAAGCTCTCTCCACCTGTGCCTCCCACATCACGGTGTTCATCTTGTTCTCTGGATCTGCCATCTTCCTCTACACGAGGCCCTCTTCCACCTTCACTAAGGATAAACTGGTGGTCATTTTCTGCGTGATCATCACCCCCATGCTGAACCCCATCTTCTACACATTCAGAAATACAGAGGTGAAAAACAATACGAGAAGGTTGTGGGGAAAGAAGGGGAACGCAGGAGTAGAGCGAAAATGAAAACAAACAAACAAACAAAAAACAACCCATGACAGGTGATCGAACATATGATCTGATTTTAGCTGGCCATGAATGAATGAAGAAAAAGTTAATCTATTTACAGTTTTTGTTGTATATTAGGTGAGCTACTTTTACACTATGGTACCAATCAAAGCCTTCTTATTGTTAGTTGTCAGCATTTTGGAAAATGTTGAATATTGGGATAGTTTCCTTCTCTTCTTCAGTACTGTATAGTGCAAAGTGCATAGGTTTTAGGGAGAGGTCACCTAGACTAAAACCCCCACTCTGTTGTCTACTAACTGTGTAATCTTGGATTTATTCACTTCACCTCTTGGTGTTAGCATGCTGTGGTATGTGGAAATATCATGGCACTTGGAGACAGAGGATCATATTTTCCTTTGTCTCTCCTTACTGGTGGCATCTTGAGGGAGTCCCCAAAAAGCTTCTCTACTTCATTCTGTGCCCCTACCCCACTAACCTGATTCCAATGCCTGAAATTCCGCAGTAGGAACTTCATTTCGTGGGTGAGGGGCATTGTTATATGTAAATATCTCTGGGAAGTGAAATACAATAAAACTATTATTAAACATTAATGTCTTAATCTCAACAATTTTATAAAACCTTTGTGTTTCTATGCACTGAGGGAAGGAAAACAATTAGAAATGCAGTTAGAAATACATTCACTTGTAAGTATATACAACGTGATGAAAAATGGCTTAAGCCAAATCTAGCCTGCTACCTGTTTTTGTATGCCTAGGAGCTAAGAATGGCTTTTACATTTTTAAACGGTTGAAAAAAAATCCTTTAAAAGAACATTATTTTGTGACATGTGAAGCTTATATGAATTTCAAAGTTTAATGTTCATAAATAAAGTTTATTAGACTACAGCCATGCCTATTATTTTATGTGTTATCTATGGCTGCTTTCATGATACAGTGGCTGAGTCTCTATAGTTGTCATAGAGACTATAGGGTCAAAAAACCCAAAATATTTACTATCTGACCCTCCACAGAAAAGGTTTGCTGACCCCTGGCTTAGACATAATGATATTTATTGCTTATTCAACAGACAAGAAGACTGGGGGTCAGTGGTTCCAGGGTTGGATTGTTAATTCTATGATGATAGTGCACTGGGTTGGTGTCTCTTCAATTCTTTTGTATGTCCCCTCATGGCTGCAAGATGGCCACAGAAGCTTTGAGGGGAGGGAGCAACTCTTGTCATGTTAGGAAATATTTCCCAGAAGCTCTCCAGCACAATTCCTCTTATTCTTCTTGGCCAAAACTAGGTCACATGTCTACCCCTAAATGCAAAGGAGGCTGGGAAAGTGAGTATTGGCAAAGGGGAAGAGGATTATATTATAGGCTTAACCAGTGTTGTGGATTGTGGATTGATTACATCCCCTAAAAAGATATCTTGAAGTACTAACATCTGTACCAATGAATGTCACTTTGCTTGGGGAAGTAGGGTTTTTCTTAGCAGATATTATCAGGTAAGTTAAGGAGGTCATACTGGAGTAGGGTGGGTCCTAGTCCTAATCCCTTTTGAGAGGCATTTTATTCAAAAAAGGGACAGACACAGAAACAGAGTCACACACAGAGGGAAGACAGCATGTGAGGATCCGTCTACAAATAAAGGAATGCCAAGAAATACCTGGGGCTACCAGACACTGAAGGAGACAAGGAAAGGTCTTCCCTTGGAGTCAACAGAGACAAAGAATAGCCCTGATGATGCCCTGAATTCGAACTTCTAGCCTCCAGTACAGTAAAAAAATAAGTTTCTGAGAAACATTTGGGGGTCCTCTTACTACAGATGGAAGAAGGAGAAACCAGCCTTGGAGAATACCAGTGATCTCTGCACCAGAGTAAAGCACATACACAGCCTGGGCACGAGTTCAGGTAGCCTGACTCCCAGGACAGATGCTCCTCTCCTGGTGGCTCCTCATGCCGGCGAGGGTTTATTTTCTAATGAAGGTAAACTTTACATTCAGAGAAATGCATAGACCACACTCATGTACAATCTGATGAGTTTTGACAATTTATATGCCCATGTAACCAACATCCTAACTCAAATGTAAAACATTTCTATTACCCTAGACACTTGTCTCCTGACCTCTTCCGTGTAATCCCCACTCCCCATAGGGGACCACTGATCTAATTTCTGTCATCACAGATTAGTTTAGCCTGTTCTTCAACTCATGGAAACGAATCATACAGCTTGTACTCTTTTGTGTCTGGCTTCTTTTGCTTAAAACAATGTTTTGGAGATTCATTTATCTTGCAGGTTATAGGAGTGTGTTCCTTTTGTTTGCTGAGTAGTATTCCGTTTTATGAATATATCCAATTTATTTTAATCCATTCTTGTTGATGGACATTTGGGTTGATTCTTGTTTATGGATATTATGAATAAAATCTTCTATAAACATTCTTCTATGTTCCCATTTTTTAAAAGCCTAAACTGATAGAGTAATTTACTTATTTTACATTCAAAATAACTTTTCATAACTAAAAAAACATGCACATCTTTTATAGAGGTGGAGTTTAATTAGAACTAGACAAGTGAAGTCATATTCAATGAGTTAATCTTCACAGGTTAGAAAATAAAATCAACTTTTTCCTGACAAAATTTGTAAGCTTAGGTAATACACACATTTTTCTACCGCATTATTTTAACAGATATTGTTTTCCAATAACAAACAGCCATAGACTCAACTTTATGTTTCTTTATCAAATATTTCAATATAAAAAAGACTGGCTGACAGACCTTCATAGAAACTCAACTTCATGATGACATGTTACAGAATAAACAAAGGTTTAATTTAAATTTTTGGAGCTTTATGTGAATATTTGCTGATCTTCTTTTGTGTATTTCTTTCGATACAAAGCTAATGGTTAATTCAGCTTTTGCATTCTTAAAAGCAATTAGGTGGAATGTTTTATATTAAAATCTCTATAAAAAAACCTCCTATTAGTCATTTGTTGACACTTGTGGCAGTATGGTTTCAACTCTAATTCTAATCAAGGCTGAATCAACATTTTTTGTGACTAACACTGGTGTAGAGCGTGTTGTATTTTACAAAGAGCTCTTACGGCATTTAAAAGACCGTTTCATTATAGAAAATTTCAAACATACACAAATGTGATCAGAGCAGTGCAATGAACTCCCCTGTACTCAACACCCAGTTTTAAAAAATATTTATTTATTTATTTTATTGTTGTAGTTTAGATGAAGTTTACATTCCAAGTTAGCCTCCCATATAAAAATTTATACTTACACAGTAATATGACCCTAATTGCTCTCCCCATACTTTGACAGCACACTCCTCCTTTCCACCCTTGATTCCCCATGTCCACTCAACCCGCTCCTAATCCTCTCTGCCTTCCCATCTCACCTCTGGACAGAAGCTGCCCATTTAGTCTCTTGTATCTGCTTGAGCTACGAGGCACACTCCTCACGAGTGTCCCTTTATGTCACACAGTCCAGTCCAATCCCTGCCTAAAGAGTCAGCCTTGGAAATTGTTTAGCTCTGGGCTGATAGAGAATCCAGGGGCCATGCTTTCTGGGGTTCCTCCAGTCTCAGTCAG